CACACACACACACACACACACACACACATACACATATAATGGAATTTAACAGTTATAGTCTTTAAACAGATGCAAAAATACAGATTTTAGCATTTTTTTCCTGTAAAGTTTACAAATTTTTTGAAAAAAATTTGTAACAGCGAATTTCATTCAAATAAAAAAATGAGATAATTATATGTAAAATTTTCAACTTTAATTTTATATGATATGTTAGAATGAATGATAAAAGCAATTGAAGGATAGATTCTAGAACGAAGAGATTAAAAGAAACCAAAAAAATTGATTTTAAATTTCGAACATTTAACCAGCAAATGCATAAAGATAAGATATAAAATATGAAACCATCGATTTATTTAAAGAAAAAATTGAAAGATAATATTGTGAAATTTTCAGTTAAATGATAACTACTCGTGTAAGGTTATATTAAACTGAACGATCAGTGATATTACACCATCGATTCATTTGATGAAAGTAATTCCTTAATGATTTGTAAAGCTCTCGTCAAAGTGATGTAACTCAAATTTTTGAAAATCTTATGGTTTGATAAAATCTACCCATTGAAGATGTATAAAATGTTCTGCAGTATATATAGGAAATTCACGAAAATCATAAATTCCAAACATCACTCAAGCCTGTAATTAAACATTATTTCCTATCTGCTTTGCTAGCCAATTTTAGCTCTCGGTAGAAATTAGAAATTTCAAAACAGCGGGACAGTTATTGAATTATATTATACAAGCGACACAGTAAAGTTCTGTGTCGCTTGTGTAATATAATTCGGTTTCTTTTCGATTCGTTCATTTTTAATTATTTTTGGCTTCAATTTTCCATTTACACATTTACAACAAATGCGAAAGGAAAAGAATAAATAAAAAATTTATTTTGAATTCTGTTCAAATACAATAAAGCAGTTAATGATTACTATTTACTGTTCAGCAATTAAATTTGTTATACAATAAAAGCAATTCAAATTAATACGATGAATTTGGGGAAAATTTCTTTTAAAGCAAAAAGAATTAATTATTAACCGCTAAGCTGAAGGTTTTCATTCTCTTTCTCAATTTTAATGTTAATTTATGACATAAAACCAACCATTGAAAAATGAAGGATATCTCGGAGTCTTCTTAGGCCTTTTGAAATTCTTAAAAGAAATACAATATAATCAATAGAAAGAATGAGGGAAATGAAAAAATCTTTGAGCATGATTAATCTCGAAACGAAGCAACCTGAGGAAAAAAATGTCTAAGATTCAGTTAAGCACTAAGATGAAGCATTAATAGAAAATCCAAAGATAAGTGATTGTCTGATATTAGCTTCAAATTATAAAGCAAATGCAAAATAAAAACGAATAAATCGACACATAAAAGTTAGTCTCTTATTATTAAAATGATTTGATTTCGAAATTCTGGTTGAAAGTGAAACCAAATTTTTATCCGATACATTTGACAATTAACTGAACAATAAAAATACAAAAAAAGCAGAGGAAGAGGAGATCAAACCTCGAATAACAATCACAACGTGTTGAGATGAAGGAGATGCCGTGTATAAGCAGAAACTACTTCAAGTTACTTCAATAAAAACATTTCTATACTAATATGATATAAAACACGAAAAAGAAATATAAACAAAACATCATTTCAGGTAGGTGACAATTGATTATAAATTAATTTGAAGATCTTGAAATTAAATATTTTGCAAAAAATTCACTCTCTACTTGTTGCTTTTTAGAAAATAAACAAAAATTAATTTGTATAACACGAAAATATCAACTTATGCGATAATATTATATGGCACAATTTATAAATTAATTTTAAATCCATCACAATAAAATGAAATGCATAATTTTTATAACAAAATATTTCTTACTGGATGATAAAATGCGCATTCCTTGTACAGTAGCACGAAACAAATATCTTACAATCGTAGAATATAAAAAATGAATAATGCAATTGCGATTAAATTAATGACAGCAAAATGGGTCGAAGCTGAGTTGCACTTATCTGTTGTGCAAACGCACATTCTTTCGACAGCATGAAGATCTGATCCCGGTAAATTGGAAGGTGTTTCCTCACACAAACCAACTTGAATACCACCATCTGTCTCATTCAGACAACCACGTTTCACTGTCGTATATCCTACAAATAATCCTTTCATTTGTTTGAGAAATGATGAACAAATTTCAAATCAAATGTGATGTCTGTGAACATAATGGACTTATACGAACAAATATTACAAATAAATATTTTAGGTTTAATTTTAAATTCTTCACTTATTCAATCTATGAAATTTCTGCAAATATTCAACATTTCATGAATTCAACAAGAGAAAACTTCATCAACTCATTTTACGAACTGTTTAAGTGGAATGAACAAACTACTAACCATTAGCGATAAATTCTGCTTTGTAACAGTATCGTCCTTCGCATATATCTTCACAGTTTGGATTACTACCTGGACAGCTGTGACATGCAACAACTCGATCACCTTTAAAACAAATCAAATTCTGAATTAAGGTAAAAATGTAGTTTATAAAAATAAATGCATCTAAGCTTTCAAATGCCTCTTACTGAGATGCACTTCATTTGTTACATTTACAAGCATGCAAATATTTTCATTCTTTTTTATCAGTATATATATATATATATATAGAATTACGAAATTGAAATTAACAATATATTTGAAAATAAATAACCTATTATCTCTCCAATACTTTCAATGGATAATAATGAAATTACTATCAGGAGCATATACATCATTCTTGTCAGCATTATATCGTTGTTACAATTTAAAAAACCTGAAAAGAAATTTTGAATAATTTAAACAGCTAATATTTTATATTACTTTTAACGATAATGAATTTTTGCCAGAAAAAGAGAAATACAATGTGATATATTTTTTAGTAATCTTAATTTTGGAGATTATCAAAAAATTATTACGTGCATAGCTATTATCTCAATGTGTAATTTAACAACCATAAATGAATGCATAAGTAATTAAATTATCGTAATATTGATATTTTTTATGCTATACTTTTCTTTCATAAATTATTTGCAGTATTACCTATACCAATAATAAATTTACATTGCTTACTATTATCTATCAACGTTATAGAAATAACTTGAACAGATCAAATTTCATTTCAACAGTTTAAAATTCTTTTCTATTCCATATTCAGTATCATTCAATTCTATTTCATGCTTTATTGACAATTTAACAAAATAATAATTATCAATCTTGAAATTTGAAAATTGTGAATCATCATAAAATGATCAATAAGGAAGAAAATCGGAGCGAATAAATATGACAGTTGTTGACCTTCTCGCTAATATCACTCGTGAGAATGAACATGAGAAAACTGAATGACAACATATTAGATTACTTAGAACCGTGCGTGTGTGTGTGTGTGTGTGTGTGTGTGTGTGTG